AAAAAAAAAAAAAATAGGGTTCTTTTCTTTCTTGTCTGCAACTCTTTTCATCTTGTTTTGTTGAATCTGTGTTGCTGGTTCTAAAGAGAAAAAAAAAATCCAAGAGAGAAAAGCACGAAAAGAAAAATCAGAGGAGAGAAGTCGTAGAAAAAAAAAACGAAAAAAAAAGGAGAGAAAAACAAGCAACACAATTCTATGGTTGGAATTCCTTATATAGAGAAGAAATCTGTGGCCAAATCCTTAAAGAAGAACAAATCCTTAAAGAAGAAGGAATCCTACTCCAATAAGGAGTTGGAAATTCTCTTTGAGTTCTATTTAAACAAGGAGATAGCAATTTTGTTTATTCCTTCCTAAGTTACGAATCCTACTACATTAAGGAATAGTCAACTGATCTGTTTGTTTTAATTTGTTTGGGTTGGTTCTTTTATTGCTTTTCTTGGTCGTTCCTTTGTGTCTTTCTATTTCCTTTAACTCTTGTAGATTTGTTGGAGTTAGATTGTCGCAAAATAACTTGATTTGAGCTTGTTTAGTTCAATAACGAACTGAAAGAGGGAAGTTGAATGAGGGAAAAAGGCAAGAGGTGTGAGCAACACTTGAGAGAAAAGCCAAGTTCTACAGTGTGCAAAACACGAGCATTGAGTGCCATTCTGTGAGAGAGTGGAGTGAAACACGTAAGGGAGTGTTGTTAGGTCCTTTTATTTTTCTGTTTCTAACATTCCTTGCAGGTTTCAATCATGTCAAGCGGTGATGACAGAAAACACCAAGTGGATGATTCCTTCATGCTTAAAGCTATGCAACAACAATTTCAGAGGCTAGACATCATGTTTGGTGAAATTAAAGACAAAATGGAGAAGCAAGATGCAGCCATTGCCAAGTTATACCAAATACAGAATGGAAGTCCAAATTTGCATAATCACGATCCTAATGACAATGATGAAGATGCATTCAACGATGATGCCCAGAACTCAAATTTCAGCATGGACAGATTTATAAGAAGTAGAGGGGGTCAAAGATATAGACTTAACAAAGGAGACCAAAATCTGGCAAGGTGGGGAGATCGGCAAGATCATGACTTAGGCAGCATCAAGATGAAGATTCCTCCATTTCAAGGCAAAAATGATCCAGATGTGTATTTGGAGTGGGAAAAGAAGGTGGAATTGGTGTTTGATTGCCATAACTACTCTGAGGAGAAAAAGGTGAAACTAGCAGCGGTGGAATTTACTGATTACGCTGTGGTGTGGTGGGATCAGCTTGTGCTTAATCGACGTAGAAATCGAGAGCATCCTGTTGACACTTGGGAAGAGATGAAGGCTGTCATGAGAAAGCGGTTTGTTCCTAATCGCTACTACCGCAATCTCTATCAACGATTACAAGGCCTTACTCAAGGGTCGAGAAGTGTTGAGGATTATCACAAGGAGATGGAAATCGCAATGGTCAGAGCAAATGTCGAAGAGGATAGAGAAGCAACAATGGCACGGTTTCTGCATGGTTTAAATCGTGATATAGCTAATGTGGTGGAGCTGCAGCATTATGTGGAATTGGAAGATATGGTGCATATGGCGGTGAAAGTAGAACGTCAACTCAAGCGTAAAGGAGCTACTAGCAAAATTGGGCAAAATTCAAGTTCCTCATCTTCTTGGAAACTGAATTGGAGCAAAAAGGAAGAAAATTCTGTTTTTAAGCCTAAAACTGCAGCATCTAAGTCAAAAGAAGTTGGCAGCAATGAGAAGAGTAAAATAGATAATATGCAAGGCAAAACCCGAGACATCAAGTGTTTTCGATGCTTGGGAAGAGGGCATATTGCATCGCAATGCCCTAATAAGCACACGATGATCTTGAAAGAGGATGGAGAAATTGAAACAGAGGGTGAATCTGATGATGACTCTATGCCACCATTGGAAGATGCTAATGATGGCATGGAATATGCTGTTGATGGAGAACTGCTTGTCACCAAGCGTACTTTGAATGTGCAAGCCAAAGAAGATGATGAAGTACAATGCGACAACATATTTCACACAAGGTGCCATATCAAAAATAAGGTATGTAGTGTGATTATTGATGGTGGCAGTAGTACTAATGTAGTTAGCACTGTTTTGGTTGAAAAGCTTAATTTACCTATGATGAAGCATCCAAGGCCATATAAGCTGCAATGGTTAAATGATTGTGGATAAATCAAGGTAAATAAGCAAGTTCTGGTTTCATTCTCTATCGAACGATATAAGGATGAGGTACTGTGCGACGTGGTTCCCATGCATGCTGGACATTTACTTTTGGGGAGACCATGGCAATATGATAGGAGAGTAACACATGATGGCTTCAAAAATCGTTATTCATTCATCATGGAAGGGAAAACAATTACTCTTGCACCATTGAGTCCAAGGCAGGTTTATGAGGATTAACTGAGAGTAAAAAAAGAGAGTGAGCTGAGAAATGAGAGTGAGCTTGAGGGTACGAAAAACAAAGAGAAAACAGTAGAAAAAGAGTCCAAAAAGGGAGAAAAGATTGAGAGTGTTGAAAACAAAGAGAGAAAATCAGTAAGTGTTTATGCAAAAGAAAGTGATGTCAAGGCTGCGTTCTTTGCAAACCAGCCTATGTTTGTGCTTTTGTATAAAGATGTTTATTTCAACACTAACGAACTTAATGATTCTTTGCCTAGTGTTGTTAAATCTCTTTTGCAGGACTTCAAGGATGTGTTTCCAAATGATGTTCCTAATGGTTTACCACCAGTAAGAGGAATCGAGCATCAAATTGATTTCATTCCTGGTGCAACAATTCCAAACCGACCAGCATATCGAAGCAATCCCAATGAGACGAAAGAACTTCAAAGGCAGGTCGAAGAACTCATGAAAAAGGGACATGTGAGAGAAAGCATGAGTCCATGTGCAGTTCCAGTGCTACTTGTGCCTAAGAAGAATGGGACTTGGCGTATGTGTGTTGATTGTCGCGTGGTCAACAAAATCACTGTAAAGTATCGTCACCCTATTCCTAGATTAGATGACATGTTAGATGAGTTGCATGGTTCTTGCATATTCTCTAAAATTGATTTAAAGAGTGGATATCATCAGATTAGGATGAAGGAAGGTGATGAATGGAAAACAGCCTTTAAAACGAAACATGGTTTATATGAGTGGTTAGTTATGCCGTTTGGATTAACTAATGTGCCTAGTACATTCATGCGATTAATGAATCATGTTTTGCATGCTTTCATTGGCAAATTTGTG